AGCCATTAAACTCAAGGGATTAGGCCTCCTCTCTTTAAAGACTTTAGGTACCATAAATATTTCACTTCAGATGTAAGGTGAAGAATTGTATACATCTGGGGGGAAATGAGTATTTTATACTACCAGTTGGAAATTATTCAGTCTCCACTTGCAGGTCAGATGATCTTTGCAGAGATACTGTCTCCCAACTTTACTATATATATACTAAGATCTGGAAAAAATGTGTGTGTATCTTGGTAGTTAATGCTGATTTTTTCTCCTCATATCCCTAAACCTTTTTCTTTCTGTAAGTTGCTGTGTTACCTACATTGTGCCTTCCACCTGGATTCTTCCTTCTTTAATTCCATTGACGCACTCAGAAAACTCAACTATCCTTGAGTGATCCCAGGCTTACATGTGCAGGGTGTGTGTTCAGTTTTTAAAAACAGGCCCTGTATTTCGTCTTTTCTCTACAAGTGAATGTCATTTAGAAAGGAAAGTGACGATGTGCTGGCAGCAGAGTTAGACAGTCATGGCTGCTATATTCTTAGAAAACTGGTGGCACTAGGAGAACCCCCTACAGAGGAAATGAGGGTTTCAGCCCCATCCCATTCTCTGGGCGGTCACCCACTTTGTCAGTTTCACTCCAGAAGGGAACACTGGTGTTTTTGTTATTTTGCTTCATTTGTCCTTTGTTTTGATTTCCTAGGCTGGAGTGTTGGATCACTGGAGTAGACTGTTTTATATAAATCTAACTGTATTTAGAATTCAGGACTTCGGGAAGGACAGGATAGGGTCTAGGGAGATGCCAGCTTTAGAGTCAGCCTGGTAAAAGATTATTCTTACCCCACCACCCCATTGTACACAATCTGTCATTTAGAACAGATATAAAACACCGTTTGCCCAGTAGTTTACTATATCTATATAGTTCTGCATTTTGTATTTCGTCCTTGAATTTGGAGACCTACGTATGGTTATTTGTATTTAAGCTAACATGCTAGTTTGTTATTTGCTGTGATTTACATGATACATGGACATTCCTCTTCCAGTGTTCCCACCCCTTTTTAAATTTTGTTTTTACCTTCTCATTGTAGAAAAGTTGGGTGGTAGAGTACCAGATCGCAGGCAGCTATGTGGGTTGAACCCCAAAGCATGAATTAGTAATATGAAGAAGGGGTAAAGTAAAATTGTATGAGTAGATGATTTTTAGTGGTGGGCTAAATAAAGTACCAGATGAACTAGCCGAACATCGCCAGCGGCAGGGGGCTCACCACTGAGCCACTGAGCGCCTTGTGCGTGATGACTCGTCAAGCTTTGGGATTAGAGGTCTGCTCAGTTACCACCTTGACCTTTTACTTCTGATGCTTCATGAAATCACAGGAATGACTCTCTGTAAAGGCTATCCAGACTCGGGGCCTACAATGTCACTCTGAAAGAAAGATGGGGGTAAAAGAAGCTCTGCGAGGTGCTTGGCAACGAGCAGGAGAGGGAGCGCACAGACTCTCTGAAGGTCAATTAGCCAGAAAATGTGCTAAAGACAGGGTGCTGGGCTGGATTACTGGCCCAATAATTACCCCCAAGGACCTCAAAGTGGGCCTGCTTTGAGCACAGAGACAATTATAGACCTGGAGGAGATGCTACAAAAGCTTTAATTAAGGAACTTACTTACACCCCACTAAGTTTTGGAAATTAAATTCTTGTTTGTGCTTAACTGATGTTTCTTTTGTCTGGGCCTCCACATGTACTTCAACAGAGAACACTATTTTCCCCAAACCTGTTTTACGCTGGGAGCTGTTTTGCTGTGATGGACACCAGCAGAGCTGGGAGTTTAATCCGCATGAGGAAGTAGGTGGAAAAGTGTAGTATGTGCGCACCTGGGTGTCCCAGCAAACCAGGAACTCTGGGCCTAAGCACGGTGACTGTGTATCTTGTAGAATCTCAAGTTTAGAATTCCCTTTCACAAGGCAGCATGATTTGCCTTGAATTGGCAACTTTATGGCTCTAGACACAGCAGGCTGCTCTTTCTCCAGAAATGTTTTTGTTTTCTGTTGATGAAGTAAACCTTTGACTGCCATCCGGCTGCGGTTTTCCACAAAACTAGACCCATATTTAGGCTCCCATCAGATTGACTTTTACTGCTGGAAAGACTGATTGAGTTGCAGGCGCCTAGCTAGAGAGGGAGGACCGCATGCGTCCGCCTGAGCGCCCGAGCGCACTCCCCGCGTGCTGGCGGGAGACGTTCTCGTCTTGGATCGCGAGCCCCAGTGCTGCCTCAGAGGTGCGCGGGCCCTTTGTTTCGTTAGTGCAGCGATTCCCCATCTGCCTTCTTTGAAGTGATTCCCTTCTGCCTGCAATGATTAGTTTTAAACATTAAGATTTCTAAAAAGCATTAAGAAATGCATGTATTTTAGTAATTTTACATTTTTAATTTTGTTTCGGTATACCTAGTTCACAAACATTAGCCAAGTGGTACATTTTGCGGGTTCTCTCTGTACCCTTGATGGCCCTTTTGTCTGCCTCTCAATTGTGGATGTGAGGACCAGAACTCAGCCTTGTTCTAACTGAATACAGGAGTCAGTAAGAAACCCCTAAGAAGGTGCTGAGGTCATAATCTGCTCTTGTTAGAAATGAAAAATGACAAGAAAATTTGACATTGTCATTACAGTTTACAGAGTCCAGTTTTCAGCAAAGTGGAGTTTGTACAAAAATCCCATTACTGAGCTGCAGTTTTACACGTGGGCGGGGGGGGGGGGGAAGCACACAGCAGACCCCCTGGTTGCCCCCTTCGTTTGCAAGCAGCCCTCCTGCTGTGGGGCCTCCTCTCCCAGGGCCATTTCAGATGCGGTGGGGTCTCAGGTGGGCCCGTGGGCAGGGCCAAAAGCTTTTGAGATTTATAGAATTTCTCATACTTGGATATGTTTTCAATAAAGCATAACATTTTTTCAGTTCTCTGCTTTGGAAAGAGGAAGAATTGTAGTTAGTGATATGAATTTTTTTGTTAGTTAACTGACTACCAAACCAGCTAATGAGCTCAAAGCCAAGTTTGGTCCAAACCTCTGGAGAGGTCCGGCTGACGTTATGCTTACTAACTGAAGAAGAATGAAAATTTGTAAAAAGTGTTGATTCAAAAAGTTGTTTTATATAGTATAAATCCTAAGTTCTTATCTCTTAGGCTTTATTGTGCTAACATTTTTAGAACTTGCACATCTGTCTTAGATTCTAAAATAGCCTAGTTTTATGCTTCAGTTAAAATGAATCCAATCAAATTGGAATTTGAAGATAGGAAGGATTTTGGTTCAGTGAAGACTCTTAAACATAACAAGGTTGTCAGGGAAGGTCTTGAAAACTTCCTTCCTGGGTGGCCTTTAAAAATAGGCTGGTGTCTTTTTCAGAGAGGGGAGATTATTCTGACATAGTTTTATATATAAAGGGGTGTCCCAGGTGATAGAACAAACAACTTACATACTGCTGACCACCAACACTTAATACAAACTTTGCTTCTTTGTTATTTGAAGATTTATTTGGATCGGGAGGTAGTTTTGTCTTTTAAGTTGGGTTTTTTTCATTTTGACAGAATTAAAATACGAATTCATCACTAAAACTAACAAGGATGGCGAATCTCAGTAAGGCTCTATATTATCAATCCAGTTTGGACGCTGTATTATTTTGAGCGCTCTCCCCAAGTATGGATGAATGTACATAGCCAGATACTCGGGAACTTCAAATGCAGTGCATAGGAATTCTTGCCTTGATAGACAGTGCAGCAGAATTGTTTAGTTTTGGGGGAATGTGAAAAACTGACCACCTTGTATTTCAGCCAAGTTGTCATTCTTAACCCCAAAGCAATTAGAAATTTTCCAGGAATATAAACAAATATCCTTCTGTGCTGATCACGAAATGGGCAGCGTCCTGTGCATTGGTGCCACAGCTGGTACTGACCGGGCAGTCCCGTGCTCCCCTGCTCTCCCCCATTCTGTATTTCTTCATTATGCTGACCTTGGAGCCATTAGCAGTCAGCAATTTATTCTTTCATAAATAATGCACTCACTCTGAAGGGGCCAGCTGGAGGCTTGTGGCGCAGCTCTGCTGGGTATTTATAGCTCATGCCAGTAACTGCTCTGGTTGAACTGGTCAGGAGCTGTGGGCCTGATCCTTGTCAGCTTGCTGGTGCGGGAGGTGAGTCAGCAGCTTTGTAAACTCCAGTCGAGCACAGCATTGAAGGAACTGGAGATCAGTGAATAGGGACGGAGTGGGCCCAGGTACTTGCTTGTTTTGTTTTTGGCTGTTTAAACCTGAACTGTTGATGGCTTGGTAGGCCATATCCCTGCGCTGACACCCGAATGGAGACAGAACTTTCTGCCTGTTTTGACGTAAATCTGGGGTCAACCAGGCTTGTTTGGGGCTGGCTTTTGCTGTGGCTTTACAGTAGATGCTCCCAGACTGCTTACAAAGCTCTGTTTCTGACAGGAGTGTGGGGCACTTTCTGGTATCAAGGCTAAGCTTGCCGATGACACTGCAGCTGCTTCTGTGCAACAAGAACCAGAGTAATGTGTGCACGGTGGAGGCATTCACCGCAGACATTTTATCCAGCCAGTATTACTATGGAAAAACCTGTTTCAAACAGGTTCTTCCCATGCAAGGCCATCAGATTTACATTTTATTTTTTTCCTTTAGCCTCTTAGGATCAGTTCTATGTCCAGGCAGTTCCCCTAGAACTTCTCCAACTTATTTTTCAGCCTCCTTTTCCTCATCCTTCCTGCCTGGACCCCAGTGATTTAAAAAACAAAACACAGTGCCTTTGTTTTCGTATCTGCCCCTAACCTTTTCCTTGTATGAATTTTTTGGTGTAAAATCAAATACTTCAAGATGGGGAAGTGCGAGGCAGCATGCTCATCTCATTTCATAGCCAGTGGTTTAAAGAGCTGTTATCTTTAAAGTAGACTAGTGAGCCTTTAATGGCAAGTGTCTGCTGACACTCGTGACGGGAGAAACGCTGATCTCTCTCTCTCTCTGTCTTGCAGGCCCTGCTTTCTTCCCGGGGCGATGTGCCGAGGTCTTTGCCAGGGGTCAAAGCGTCGGGAAGCTTGGGGTCCTTCATCCTGATGTTATCACCAAATTTGAGCTTACCATGCCCTGCTCCTCTCTGGAAATCAATATTGAGCCCTTTTTGTGAAGATGGGCTCTGTGATTCTCTCTCCCCAAGTGTCCCTTTCTGCTCCCCTCCCACCCTTTAGTCGTCCCCTCCCCGCCCCCCGAGAGAACATCCATTTGTGCTTTAATGTTTAATAAAGCAGGAGGCACTGTCTGACTCTGTGGGTAGATGCCAGCCATTCTCTGCACTAGGCCAGCTTGTGCAAATACAAATGTGATGTCTGTGTGACGCTTCGTCGTTCAGCAACAGCCCAAGGAGTGTCAGAGAAATGCCCTGGCAGGGTGGAGGATGCAGTTCTGAAAACCAGAAATGTTCTTAGACGTCAGAGTGTCACCCATCCCTCCTGCGGAACTGGTTCCCATTCTTTTCCTCACTGATGAAATAAGGTAGTTGATTAGAGCACAAAGCGCATGAGTATGAGATGGCGGAAGATTCTGGTTTTCATTTTCTGCATTGGACATGTGTTCAGCTTCGGAAAACAGTTATTTTTAGAAAACATTTAAGAAGCAGTTAGCCTAGTAGTTAAAACTTTTGAAGCCATTTTAAGGGAAAGGTAACACCACATTTAGAATGTTTGTGTATTTTTTACTCTCATCTCTGAAACAGAGTATATGCAACATATTGATGTCAGTGCAAGAGAACATTAGGAAACAGTGCAAAAATACTTTGCCCTAGGCCAAACTTTCCTGTAACCAGTGTTATAAAATCACAGGTGAGATACTGGTTTCTGTCTTACTTTGCAGGGAGGTATTAGACTTCTACCAGTCTGCCTTTTTTTTGCCTTACAATTTACTTCCAGACTTCAGTCTAGACTCTTAATAGGCACCATTTACTGAAAAAAGTTGAATCTAATATTTGAGAAAAGTTCTCAATTACTGTGGAGGTGATATGAAACACAATAAAATGTGAAACTTTAAACCAAGTCCCAGTAGAAATAACTAACACATTTAACACAGATGAGACAAGAATTATCTTCATGGAGCTTTTGCTGAAACTGCTAAGAAAAACTGCAACCATGTTTCTATGAATCAGGGCCACAGAATCCAACTTAGCCAGCCAGATTTGTGAACATACAGATTTCTCTCTCTTCCTTCCCAGTTTTGTTATAGGCAGGTCCCTACAACATTTAGAAATGAAGTTATACCTGTTCATGAAAAAATAATGCATGTCAAAAGATTTGTATCCATCCAGCATACAGATTTCTTACAACTTAATCTGGTTTTTAAAAACTGGACAGACTTGAACAGCTATTTGCCAAAATAAATAAATGAAACAGGCACATGAAAAGACATTCATGATTAGTCATCAGAGAAATGCAAATAAAAACCACAATATGAATTAAAATGGCTAAAATGTGATGATATCAAGTATTGGTGAGATGGAGCAACTGGACATCTGTGCACTGCTGGTGGGGATATGAAAGAACACAGCCACTTTAGCAAATAGTTTGGCAACATCTTAAAATATGAAACCCTACCATACAGCCACTCTACTCCTAGGTTTACCCATATGGCCAGAGATTATTATGCAGATATTCACAGTAGTGATATTCGTAGTACCTACAACCCAAATGTTCATCACAGATGAAAACAAATTAAGGTATATTCATAGCATGGAATACTCAGCAATAAAAAAGGAGTGGACTACCAATACTCAAAATGTTAATGACTCTCAAAGCATTATGCTAAGTGGAGGAAGCCAGACACAAAAGACTACATGCGATCCCACATCTATGAAATTCTAGAAAAGTCAAAGGCCAGTTGGTTGGCTGGAGCTCTTGGAAGGGAACTGAGGGCAAAGGGGTAAGAGGAAAGTGGGCTGATGTAAATGCTCCATACCTTAGTTGAGGTGGTAGTGGAGATGTAGTTTATACCCAGTAAAGCTGGGAGGACAAATGTTAATGCCACAGGCAGTAGTTCAGTAGTTCTGCACATCAGCAGATTCATGCATGAGGTAAAAGTGTGAACTTCAGAACTTCCTGTCTCCTCAAGATGGCTTACTGGTCTACTACTCCTCTCCCCTAGTTTCAGGTTTACTGTGGTTAAAATGAGTTCATGGGCCACGTGATAGCCACTGTTGAAGTGGGTGGAGCCAATTGCTCTGCTGGCAGCCAGCCACCTGGGTATTTTTTGGATGATCAGAAATCCCTTGTAATGGAAAACCCACCGCTACCTAATTGTATATCCCAGCATGAAAGGGGACAGACAGCTCCATCCATCACGTGGATGTCTCTGCTCTCTGAAGCAGGGAACAGTAGGAAGAAAAACAGTATCAGGCACATGAGAAGAAATGAACCTTCAGTTTATGAGTTGAGACTCCACAGCCGGATCATCTTACACTTGTTCTGAGGGAGGCATTTGAACTGGACCAGGGCCAACGGTGAGCACTGCCAAAGCCTGTATTAGAGAAGATGCACACCTTACTGAAAACTGGGAGCTCTAGTACTAAAGGGGAAATTAGGTATAACTGATTCTTGTTCTGGCTTACACAGCTTCCACCACTACAGCCTGACATGCCTGCACACCTCTTCAGTCTATATTTTCACATATAATCTTGACACTTTGATTTTTTTAGTTTAACAATCAGGATTCTCTCTGAACAGGGATTCTCTCTGATATGTAAGATGAGAACTTACCTTCAGAGAGATTAATGACATGCCCCGAAGTCACGTGGCTAACGGGCTGGAGACACCTAGTAAGAGTGACTTGGAGGCCACGTATCATTCAATATTTTGTGTCATTTACCTACTTATCCAAACTGTTGAGATTTTTCTATGAGGTTTTCTTGATACAAAAAAATACAGAAAACCACAAAGTTAAAAAACTTAATTCCATTACTTTAAAAACTAGTACGAAGCAAGGCCTTCCTAAACTAATCTACTCTTCCTCTAGCCCTGAACTAACCACTGCTAACAATTTAGCTCGTATTGTTTCTGACATATTCCCTAGTTTGGACAGTCAGCTGCACACACATGCTCCTGGTTACTGGGTCATGGTCTACTTGCTGGTTTGCAACAAGTTTTGATTTTCCTTTTACATAGTATAACTCATGACATTGCACATAATATGTCCCATTTTTCCAGGTCAGTAACCATAGACCTACCCCATTCTTTTAAATGATGCAATATTCTTTTGTATGCATGGCCTTGATTTGTTCAACTATTCCTCCATTGATGGACATTGTTGTTTCCAACTCTGCATTAGGAACAGTGCTCCAACAGGCTTTGATGTGCCTCCCCTTAAAATAGCACCGGCTTAGGAACCGTGGAAAAGCAGTCATAATGGTTGGGGGACTGTAACATCCACATTTGTTGCTTGATAGACACATTCAGGTATGCGTGGGCTTAGCTGTTTATTAGATGTGACTTTTGTACTTGGGCAGTGTACTAATCCAGTTGGCTAGATTCCTAGGCATAGGGGATGTTAAATGACTTACCTTTAATGCAGGAGTAGCCTAGCCAGGGACCAGCTAGCCTAACTGCTGCCCCTGCCCTCAGCAATGGTGGGCTTGTCAGGTCAGTAAAAGCATGGCTCACAATGTTAGGTCTCCAGTTCACATCTGCTTGTGCTTAGTGTTTTCTGTAAATACCACTAACCCCAATGCTTAAGTATTGATGTGGCTCTTGTATCCATTTTATCCAAAAGCAGACAGGTGGCCTTAAAGGGACACACCTGCCTTCAGCAAAACATGCCCTCTAAATGACAAAAACTTTTGACACTTTTGATAATCTCCCAAGTTGTGGCTAATGATGTTATAAGGAGCTCGAGTAACTTTATGTGTATTATTGGGGTGGAGTGAGGGGAAGAGAGGCTGGGGTGTGTAATGAAATTCCAGGCAGCAGTACACTCCCGGGAGAAGCTGCAGGCAGCTCCCTCAGGCCCCTGACAGTAGCTGCTGCTCCTCGGGTAAAGGTGGCGGGCCCCCAGAAGGGTTCCCACTCCTGCCTGCTGTGTCCTCAGGTGTCCTACGCTCCCCGTGGACTTCCTAGTAGGCAGAAGGGATGACTATGAACATTGCAGCTAGGCTGGGCTGAACAAATACCTCCAGCAGAGAGTTTAGCTGCATTCGGTCTGGCGAAAGCCCTGTATGTTCTTTCTCCCCACTGGACCACAGCGGTGTGGTAAGAACATGCCCAAGGCCTACGCGTGGCTTTCAGTCCTCATCCACGAGGTCTGGCTTACATTGTCTCTTTAAGGACAGGAACGTGGCATGATTCTGCATTAGGAAACTTGGAAGAAGCCCTGCAGTGCTCAGAGGCGCTCACAAGAGAGAACTACAGTATTTGAAAGATAGTGCCTGTCAGACAAAGCAAAGCTGGCCTTTCCTTAAGACAGAAAAGTGAAGATGTGGAGGAAACTGTTGAGTTTGGATACCAAACTGTGGAGCAAAAGAAATTCCCTACATTCCGTGAGCCACAACTTTTTGTCATGAGGAATGAAAATATGCCCACCTCTAAAATAAGCACCTCCTGCTTAGGGCTGGCAAGAAACCAGTTGTCAAGGATGTAAACCTGAGAAACACCCACACGGGGGCTGGATCCACACAGGGCAGAAGACCAGTCGGAGGTGGGCGGGATTAATGAGAGATTTCCTAGCTGTGAGTGCTGAGCAGACATTTAAAGGAGTAGCTGGGGTGACCCCAAGGCAGGTGAAGCCTAGAGGAGCCAGACAGAAAGCACAACCTCAGCTGTAGTGGGGAGAGACCGTGCAGGTGGGGAAATGCGGACACCCTGGCGCCACGCCCGCCCTGGGGTCACGTGCAGCGTAACTAAGACAGTCATGGATCGGCTAGACCCGCCGTCCTCTCTGATCTGCAAGGCCATTCAGCGTCTGGCCTTCTCGCTGGCCCTACAGGTTTTCTTTACTTCTTTCTTCCCAAACAACATTGACCAACTTTGCATACCCCGTCTATAGATCCAGATGAAATAGGTAAAAAAAAAAAAAAAAGGGTTTCCACAACTCTGCTTCATGAATGAAGGCCGGTGATCCCTGGGAGACAGAAAACAAATAAGGTGAGTCCTTTGAGCGCCCAGCTTCCTGCCAGAAGGGGTTCCAGGCGTTGTGTGGGGAGGGGACCCAGGCAGAGTGTGCAGCCTCCGGGAGGGGAGGGGACGGGGCTGGGCGCCCACGGTGGCCAGGGCCACTAGAGTTGACGGGAGCGCTGCAGAGAGCTGTGCAGAGGCCAGTCTGGGCGGCTGCTGCCCGGCTCGGGCGCATGCGGAATCCGCCCTGCCACAGGGGAGGCTGCCCCCAGCCATGCCCAAGAATGGACGGAAAGACCCCTGGAGCTCTTAGAGCCGATCAGAGCTAGAAAAGCCCAGAAATCACAAGGCCATGGGGAGCATCCTCAGAGGGGGTCTGCCTCAGGAGGGGGGAAGGCAACTCTAGACTAAACATTACTCTGGTTTTGCCTGATAAGGCTTAAAAAGAAGAACAAGTGAAACTATTTACAAGGAATGAACCACATCCCTGAGCAAAGCTTAAGGATATTTACAGTAACTCAAAAAAACCCAGCACCCAACATTGTAAGATCCAGAGTATCCAAGAAAAAGTCACCAGGCAAGCCAGGAAACTGGGAAATACAACAAAAGATGAGGAAGGGGAAAAAAATGAATAAAAAACTGACTCAAATATGACAGAAGATAAAAGTAGACAATATTATTATAACCATATTCCATATGTTCTGGGAAGCTGGAGGAGAGACTGAACAAGCCAAGACACAGATGGAAGATGTGTATTTTGAGTTTGAGAAATGAAAAACTATGGTGTCTGAGATAAAAGAGCAATGAACTGATCAAAATGAACTACCATTTACTTAATAACAGAATGAACTTCAGGAAGAATTTATATCAAGCTGTGTTTTCCCCCCACAACAAAAATAGCCTTCCAGCCAAATATTTTTATCAGTACCTAATTCAGAAGGCATTTTAAAACGGTCTGTGCTCACAGGGCACTGTGCATGATTTGGCCCTCTCACGGTGCCACCCATCTTGTTCCCACGTGACTGAGAGATCCTGCATTTGGGGAGCTCAGGAGGCCCTCTGCCTCTTCAGGCTCACTAATGCACGGAGATGGCATGTGGACAGCACCCCAACATCTGGGGCTTCCTCAGAGGCACCCGCATGCTTTGAACACCTCCACTGGTGAACAGTGTGACTTGGGCTCCAACCAAGGTGACCTTGGTGGCAGCAAGAAAGAGCAAGGCCAGCAGATGAGTGCGCACATTAAGGCAGCATTTCGGCCAGAACTTCCAGCTACGTCTTTGCTTTTGTTTGTTTTTGCATGCCACACAGACAGGCGTGGAAAAGGAAAAAGGATTTTTGGCTTCATACAGCTCCCTCGTCTCATGTGGCTGCAGTTTTAAAAATTTAATGTTCTATTCACGGTGCACATTCAGCTCTCATTCTTCTTCAGACGCGTCCTGTAAACAGTCGAGTCTGTATTCCAGGTGGGCCCCTCTTTAAGAAAACAACGAGCACACGGTTATCTGAAGTAATCCACGAAGCGGCCTTACGTTCACAGAAACAAAGACCTGCCATGTGAATTTTAAACAGCAAACTTCTTGCCGCACTTACAAGTCAAGTTTAAAAATCAAAACACATACAGCTTTTAGGAAAACATGTATCTCTAAAACAATACATCTACCCCCATTCCACTCGATTCTGGTTTGACTCTCACTAGAGAACCTGGGCTTCCCTCAGAATTATGAGACAGGCAGCGTTTACAGGTCCCTGCATGAGCCAAGACTGGGGCAAAATATTCCTAAACGAAGTTCCACAGGACTAGTTCAGGGAGCTGAGCAGAGAGAAGAGGGAGGGAGGCATGGGCACCCAGCCTGCGACCCCCCCTGGCTGCCGTCCCCTCTGCCCGCCGAGAGTCGGCCAAGAGGACACGGCAGTGAGCTGTGTGAGTCCGGGGAAGGCGCGCTCTGTGGGTTGGGAAGTACTCCAGTGTGGGACCATGGACAGAGTCTGGGGGCTCACCTGTGGACATCACCTCCTCAGGAATGGCCCCACGTGGACGCAAGGAAATGGACAAGGGCTTCTCATGCTTCCTTCCTGTTCTTGCGATGTGCTTTTGCAACATCAAAGCCGTGTGCTTTGTCCCACCACTGCCACCGCTATTATTCCTACACATGGTCACCAACACGGGCTGGTTTGGATTCCCCATGTAAGAGCTGGCGGGGTCTAGGCAAGTGTCCGTGGCGAGCTGTGGCCTCACCATGGAGCTTGCCCCCACTTCCCGGCACATCCCTGCACAGCCTGGCTCGGGCCCTCTAGTCCTGAGCCCCCAAGCTGGGGGTGGCCTCCCGCTCCTCTCAGTTCCCTGCCAGGGTTCCCTTTTCCCTGTAGCCTTACTACTTTGGATCTTGAACTGTAATTCTCTGAGCCTGTGTCCCCTTCTCTCCTGAGAGAAAGTCACAGGGCAGACTGGGTCTCATCCAGCCTCACCTGCCAGGGGTTCCCCGCTTATCAGGTACTAAATACACACTGTTCTGAGTACTAATAGGGTCCTAGCCCTGGCCTTGAAATAGGAGTGCCAGCCTCCTGTACCATTTCCAATAGCAAACTTGGGATGCTCACGTATCCTCGCAATGATGTGAACTGAAATTGGATGGTGTTCACTGGGTTCAGTAGGTGGCATGGCGAACCCACCGTGAAAACCTCAGTTACCTGAACCATTACACCATTTACCTTTCAGCACACAGTGACACTTACCTCTGAATATTGTAAAAAGATGCTCTTTAGCATCTAGGAGTTAAAGGAGGGTATTTAAACATGAGATTGTGCCACTGACTTCCTGTCAATAACACCTGTGGCTGCTGTGACACTCACCAACATTTGCATGTGATTGAATTATGACAGTGGTAGAGAATCATACACTTGCCATTTATTCGTGTCACCTTTTCTCAACTCAGGTACAGCAAACCCTGAGAACAAGGTCTAGAAGAAAAAAGGATCCAAAGAAACAGAACACTGGCTTTCAAAGCACATAATTAAGGAGTCATAATCAAAAACGATTTAAAAAACAAAAAGTAAATTTACATATGATACATTAGCAAGACAGCTGAAAGTTTCCAGCATAGAAACCTGGGCCACATGGCCTTGAAACCCCACATTTTCACTGCATCAAGAAGCACGAGTTACCTATTTGAGCGAGGGAATCCCACGTTACAGTGTGACCATTGGGCATGAGGTGGAGTGATTTCAGCCACCACGTAAGGGTTTTTAGGCCCGGGTATCCTCTGCATTTTCTCCTGCACATTCTGTTACAGTGTGAGTCTGAGCTGAACCGGCCTGAGATGACAGCTGTTTACTGGGTGGGTGTCCTGCCCCAGAGGGATAGTGGGCTGGGGGCAGGGTGAGGACCGTTAGTTAAAGCACATGTCCCCATCGTCCGACCTGGCTCCTGGCGGGGCCAGGCGCCCTGAGGGCCATGCTGTCAGTTTCCCAGGGGCAGGTTTGGCCAGACCTCAGGTCCTGGATTTATGTTGGATACGTCACGAGAGCCTGACTTTTACAAATTCCTCGTCTCCAAGATTCCTCCTCAGGAGAGAGGCTTTGGAGCAAGGCTGAGGCTAATCCAGCAGGGGACAGTCTTTCACCAGAGAGAAAATCCAAACGTCTGAACGGAGGCAAAGAGGCAGTGAGGTGTGCGTGAGCCTGAGGGAGCCGGGGTGAGATTGAACAGTGAGGTGCTGGGTGGGTAATGGAGAAGACAGCTGGCAAAGCACGAGTGTGAGTCAGGTAACAACTTTTTCCAATCAGTTGCTGCCTGATTCTTGGCCTCAAAGCACAAGTGCTCAAAAACTAAGCTTGGCCTCGCCAACATATACTTTTGCTATAAGAAGATACTTTAAAAAATGATCAACCATGATAAACCCTTGGGTCATTCTTTTTTTTTTTAATGAAAAATTCCATAGATACCATTTTATTTGATCCTTCCCCAAACTCTGGGAAATAGGCAAGGCAGGCAATTATCTCCATTTCTGTGAAGAGGAAACTGAGGCTCTGAAATGCTAAACATCACGTCCAATAAAGTGGGCACAAATACAACATTTCCACAGCCAATCTGTTCCGTATTTCACATGATATGAGGTGATGTTTCTGATGGCACTGTTACATTCACTAAGTTAATAGACTTGATAAGTTAATTCTTAGTACTTAAAGCTTAAAAAAATGAGCAGTTACTCAGTTATGTAGTCCTGCTAGATATATTTTAAGCCTACTTTTATCTATATTAGTGGATTTCACATTGAGATTCTTATATTACAAGTGAATCACTTATTCATAATTTTAATAAAAATATTTTGAACACCAACTGTCCTTGGAGCTGGTATGTGTTTGTGAGTGTGGGGTCAGCAGGCTGCAGGAAGGACAGAAAGACAGGTATGCAACAGACTGCGTGGCTTAGACAGGCCCTTACAGAAGAGCAGGAGAGACAATGTCACATGTATTTCTAAAAAGAGTACTTGGTACATGACCCATTTTCTTAGAGCTTATGGTGCTCAGGGAGGAACTGAATGTTTCACCAAGTGTTGAAGGCTTCAACAGCCCACAGGTTTTCATACTACTTTTAAATGTAGTTCTGAGTAAGACCAGACCAAATAAAGGCCAGGGGCCTGTCTAGCACCCTGCTACCTCTGTCCTACCGCCCTCCTTCAGTGACAGCCTACCCTGAAACCATCCACCCCTCTCTTAGCTGTCTTCCTTGGTAGTGACACAGTTTACACTCCCATGTCATCCCTCTGGACTTCACCTCCTTTCCCGCTACTCTGATGCCTTGACACTGACTCCCTCTGCTTTAACTTAACTCTCATATGGTTTTAGATAAAGCTGGTTTTTCTGTGTCCTGGAGCTAAGCCCTATCCTTGGGTCATTCTTTAATGTTGCAACGGCTAATACATTCAGCCTCCATCCAAACTGTGTAAACACAGCCTTAAATACATCAGCACAGCTCATTGCAGCCCCGCTGTTGGGACGGATAAGGGACAGCAGTAAAACCTACACACACACACACCAATGAATCACCAACACCATACACTGTCTGCTGTGATAACAATTACAGCTTCTCTTTTCAAAAATATGTATTAAAAGCTGATTCTTTTCCTGGTTGGCTTCAGAAAAAACAACTAAAATCTTTTGGTGTAAATATCACCCAGTGCTACAATCTCTGATCTCTGGTTTTTGGGGGTGCAGGGGGTGGGCAGAGCTACAGGAAAATACCTCCCTGCACATCCCCTCATCATAAGCTGCTACAAATACTGGTCAGAGTATGACATACAGTCAAATGGCAGGTCATTTTGATCCCTGCCTCCTAACTATGAAAAATGTCAGAAGAATTCCAAAGAAAACAAGATGTTTGACTAAAAATTATTCAAGAAACTGGAGAATTAAGTCAAATACCAAGGATCATTCCAACAAAAAGGCCAGATTTGACATCAGAACAAACGGGGTGCTCAGTTTTCCTACTGGATGCAGGGGTAAGAGCCTCTAGGCAGGCTAATTTTTCCCCCAAAGTGTGTGTGTGGTAACAAGTTCTGTAACTCCCTGGCTTCAGAGGTTCCAGGCTGCACTGCAGAAGATACTTTGTTAACTACATACTAGTTTTTAAGGAAATTGTTAATACCTGTTCCTTAGCCCTCTGGTGTTCGCGTGATGATGGCCTTCCTGGGGCTCCTGAGGACAGGCCCGAGGTGTGAAGGGTGTGGTGTTGGGGTGCCTCGCTCTCTCAAGGGAGGCTGACACTGCTCCTGCCTAACATTATCCTTAAAATTGCCGAGATACGAAGTGGACAGATGGGAAGGGAGACCCCGATTCTATTTAGTAGATGAGAAAAAGGATGCACAGAAAGTAACTGAGAAGCGGAGGACAAGGTCAGGCAGGCCCTGGCAGGACTGGGCAATGTCTGTCCGGGACATGTGCCCTCCTCGGCCCAGGAAGGAGTAAGTCCACCCATTTCTATCGACCCACTTTCGCAGGGGGACCAGACGACAGTACCTTCCCCATTTGTAAGGAAGCAGAAAAGGCTGGGGATGGGCAGAGGTCTTGTCCCACATCTAGGCCAGAGAGAGCGGGACACCCGGGGAAGGCAGCGGAAGGGTCAGTCAGGGAGGGATTCATGCGCAAGAGGGGTGCAGACGGGGCCTGGACGCACCAGCCTCGGGGCAGGGAGAGCCTTGCCCTGGCAGCGCCCTCGGGTCTGGCCCGCCTCTGCTGGCCTCCCGGAGAGCGGGGCTGCCGTTGGCCTTGTCGCCCGAGCGGGCGGTCTGACCTGTCAGTACAACGAGAAAGCCACCCGGCCCGGGGAAGGCAGTTTTACTGGGGGCCACCCTTTCTCCCCGACCAAAATTACAGCTTGGTGGGGGGAAATGAGATTCAGTGCAGGTCAAGGGCGTGACTGAAAAGAAGCGCTTGACCTTAGGCCTCCCCCATCCTGCCCATCTTTGGCTCTGCAGAACCCAGTGGGGGCAGCAGCTGCTCATGAGCCGGGCGCGTGACTGTGTCCACGGGCTGTGTAGCGGACAGCGGGGGAGACCCTTAGAAAAACTTGTCCCTTGGTTTAGCCTGGCTTCAACTGCAGCACGGCCCTCAGACTAATGGTCCCTATGACGCAGTATTGCCTTTTATGTAGCAGGAGCATTCTCTCGGGTATCAGGAAAAGACATGTAACAGGATTTTTCTAAGAGAAATGTGTTGCCAAGTCTCACCCATGCAACAATCCTGTGTCTTGGCCCTTACGTCCCATGGGCTAATTCCCTACTGTCTGAGGCTCAGAGCAATCCCAAAAACCTGTGTAGCATTGGCACAAAGGTTGTGGCGCAGATGCCAACAGATGTGTACGTGACAAACTTGTAAGGCACTTCAATCTCCAGCCTCCGCCTGGCCTCCTTGTTCCTGGCGACCACCTTGAACCACGAGAATAATACTTGCAGTGAGAGATTTTGTACAAGTTGACGAACCAGGATGGTCAACACAATTCCCACACTAAATTTGGCCAGACCCAAACCCAGCATGTCAGTGGTGAGCGGTGGGATGCTATAGATCCCAGGGAAAGACTCGGTGGGCTCAGACACAAGCTGGAAAAAATGGTTGATCCAGAATCCTATGGTCACCCCAGCCCCAGCAGCCAGGATGGTGGTGGTGTCCGCTCTGGTTGGGCTGTAGTACTCAGACGCGGGGTAGTTGTAACACAAGATGAATGGTACCACTATGGCACACACGGGGAAGAGAGGGCTGGCCGAATCTAGGCGATCGATAAGGGTCCAGGCGGGGTAGGTGAGGGCAATGAGGACCGCAGTGAACAGAATGCCAGCCAGCACATCCTGCGGAAGGAGAGAAGAGTGGTGTGAGCCAGTGCATGTGCCCCTCTGTACAGACATCATTTCAAGTCAAATATGCTTGATTTGCTCTTTAAAACACAATTTTTACATTGTCTCATTTTATGTTTAGAAAAAAATGTATAATTGCAAAAATTCGAAAATAGGAAAAATACAAATAATCACGCTGTTCTCGTTATATTTTCTCCCCCAGTTTTTGTCTTTTGAAATACTATATTTGTGTTCTTAGTGAATAGCTGTAAGCACATTGTTCCTTTGAGCTTCTTTTATTTTCGCTTTAATATTGTGTCACAAGTACTGTCATGATCTTCCCAGGGGTGGTATCATCTTTCTCGGCAGGCAGAGGTCGGGCTGCTGGCCGGTGGAGGGCGTGGGCTTCTGGGGGAGCCACCTTCACACAGCAAGCACGCCACTGTTACGCTTATGCGGGGTATGCTTATACAGGGTGGTTTGAGAAGACCTTTGGGATGTGAGGGGGCCACAGTTCCACTTCTGTCTTACACAACCGGTCTGTCTTCAGAAGCAGGATTTCAAACAGCACACATACAATTTCATTGAGTGGCTGTATCAGGCTTGGTTTAATGAATCCTTCTTTAGAACATTCACCTTGTGCTCTAAACATCCCTTCCTCCGTTCCTCTCTCCCTCCCTCCTTCCCTATTTTTTCTTCCCCCCTCCACCCCATCCCCCTTTTCTTCCTTTCTTAAATGCCTGTTTAAAATACCTTTAGCTCCCTAATGTCATGTTTCCTTCTTCCGTTAGTGTTCTCAATGCAAAATTTATTAGAAGGTAAAGTCTTAATATAATTAATAGATGAATACACCTGTCAGAGAATGAGGCACTTGCTGTGTTTTATTACAAAGTTCCACATGAATTATTTTGAAAGTTCACAATTGAAAATTGAAAACATTCTCCCCAATGCATTGGGGAATCTGGAAAACACCAAAAAAGAATACACATGCATTGTAGAAAATCTGGAAAACACCGAAAAGTATAAGATTAAAAAAAAAATAGATCCTTATTTCCAATACATGGAGTCAACTTTGCCCATATTTCGGCATGTTGCCTTCTATTCTGTTTTCATATATACATATTAACAAATAGAATTCTAAAGTCTTGGTCTTTCTTTTCCTAATAACTCCCTTATTTCTCTTGCGTAGTTTCTAATAAAATGACATCTGGTTTGAGTAAACAATGGGTGAGACCTTGGAAATAATCACTGAAGCTACAAATTTCACAGATTAGTGTCATCCATTCATCCTTCCAATGTCCGTGAATGAGTAGTGCCTGCTGTATACCAGACAGGTTGCTAAGGGATCCAGTGTGGACTAAACAAATACAATCCGCTCCTCCGAGGCGCTTCCAATCCAGTGGATACACGATCCATTATTATTATTTAAGAGGGAATGATGCGCGCGTGCGGTTCCTGACGGTCCTCTGGGGCTGGGAAGGGACAGTAAATGCAGGAAGACCCACCCCATGGGGCCCAAGACCACCAGTCCACGCCATAAGGACTCGGTCCGGGAGCAGCATGAAGCTTCTTTAGAACTCTCAGTGGGTAACAACTTAACTAGATCTTCGCTTTCAGGGGATCATTCTGAAAGAGGTGGGTTGAGTGGGTGCATGGGGGACACCACTGCTGTCTCAAAGGAAGCTCATGGGCTCCATGCACCTGCCGCCCTCTCTTCCACTAACCCCTAGGGCTTTCACATCTCCATGGTCTCCGCCCGGGATTCCTTGTCCCTAATGGATGAATATGCGCTGACGTTGCTTTATTTTTAGAAAGGCACAATCCTTCATTTAGGCTTCCTGGTTGCTCAAATTGAGGTGAATTCTTGGACTGACTTTTCCCCACCTGTCACCTCGCCTTCTTCAACCTGAAACACAACTGCTGTCTAGACTGGTGGACTCAGATGATACGCCATCCCAAAGGCCACTTACTAGACAGCTGTGGGCTGTTTCTTCAGCACATCTTTAACCCAAGAGCTGCCTAGTTCCCCTGGAGAGCCAGGAGCTCTGGGAAACGGGGATTGTAGCACACGACCCTGTAGGCCAATCAATGCATTGGATTCCCTGCCCAGTGATTGGTGCAGAGGCGGTCATGTGACCAAGCCAGTCACATGACCACATCCCTAAGAACTGTATGGATTTGCCTAGCATTCTTGGACCCTGGTGTTTTTTTCTTCAAAACACTGTGCCCTGTGGATTTACACCCTTTATTTAGCAGACTTTTAATAGCTTTATAAATGCTGCCCTGCACGATGCTGACTCTTCTCTGGCCACTCGGAAGTCTCTCTTGGTCTCCTCCTTTAGTTGCCCCTCATCTTCCCACATCCTGAACACGGGCGTTTCCACAGATTCTGTCTTCATGCCCTGTGGTGTGTTTCTTCCCTTGTAGAGTTTGCAGAGGCCCATGGCTTCATCTTCCCGTTCTCAATCAGTGTGATTGATCTCAAATAGATCTGTCTCTCAAATCTGCGCCTTCTGGCATCTCTCTCAAACTTTAGTCCTACATTTTTAACTGAATACAGACATTTTCATTCAGATGTCCCGTCAGCCCCCCAAGCCATCTTGTTTAAAATTTATAGAAAAGGAATATGAACGCTTCTTAGAACATATGAAAATATACCTGAACTTACTTATAAAAAGTAGAAATTAAACTATGCTCAAGGCAAATTAAAATTTATGTTCACATAAAAAGTGGTACATGAATGTTTATACCAGTTCTATTCATAATCACTAAAAACTGGAAACAACCCCAGTGTCATTCAGTGGGTGGCTGGGATAAACTGTGCTACATTCATACAAAGAAATACTTCTCAGCAATACAAAGCAGTGAAGTACTGATGCATGCAACAGCTTAGATGAAATCTCCAGGAAATTAGGCCAAATGGAAAAAAGCCACTCTCCAGGGGTGACATACTCTATGGTTCTATTTATACAACATTCTCTAAAAGATTCTAGGGGTGGGAGGATGTGACACAAAGGGATAGTACAAGGAGTTTTCTAGGGTGATGAAACTGTCCTGTATTGTGGTGGTGGCTCCTCAAATCTATACATGTGTTAAAAACCCACAGAACTATGCTCAGAACAAAGCCAACTGCACTGTTTGTTAATTTAAAGAATAAAATGAAAAATTACATTTCAAACAGAAATTTAAAAGCTAATGGCTATTTTGTTTCTAACAACTAACACTGTGGAGTATCATGTAAAGCAGTGCCCTGAACGCCCACAGGCTCCCAGCACACCCCCTCGGCCCCACCATCCTCCCATACAAACTGAGAATGCACCCCTCATCTAAGAGCATTAACAAAAACCCAGAAGTTTGACAGCATTCTGTTGAGGAAATTGCAGGTGGAAGATAGGACTCTTGTCCACTAATTGTATGAAAGCAAAATGGCACAACCCTTATGGGGAGCAACTTGGTGATATTTTTTTTCATTTCATGTTCATTTAAACTCTGACCCACAACCTCACTCTGGGACTTGACCACAGAGACATACCTGCCCATGTCTGTAAAGAAATATTTACAAGTTGACCGTTGTAGTACTGTTTGTGATAGCAAGAGACTGGGAAAATGCTACATTCTACCTATGGGGCCCAGTTAACTCTCACGATGATATACACACAATGGCTACTCTGCAGCTGTGATGTAGACGTTCAAATGCTACTATATCCACTAAAAAAACATGGGAGAATTTATGGATACATTTTCACTTAATACACAAACGGGACCACTTGGATGAATGGGGACAGAGTTGGGAAGGAGACTTTCACAGATATCCTTATGTGCCTTTTCAACTTTATATCACATAAATGTACCACCTCCTTAAAATATTTCAGTGAAATAATTCAGCCTCTCCTCTTCCGAGCAGGATCTGCCTTTCAACTCCCCTATAAATGACCGCGGGCGAGCCTCCCGCAGGGGCCTGGGAATATATGGTAAAGGGATGACCTGTCAACTGTCACCTGCTGAGGACTGGTGGCGTCTTGTCTGTTCTAAAGGAACGCATATTCTGAGGGAAGGAGGGCAGCACACATGAACCCCACACTCCAGGAAAGCCTTAGCTCTCTCCATGGGGAGAGAAGATGCTGCCATCTCGGTCGCCTCCCGGCAGCCCCACTGAACTCAGCTGAACCCTGAGCAAGTCAGGGTATCATTTTGCCTCAAACTATAGAAAAAACACAGAGCTAAAGAGAGCTGCTTTGAGATCTTCCTGGCAGAGTGCTTTCCACAAGGAAGAATCCATTCCCGCTGGTAACTCTAGGCCACGGTACCCATGAGGGCACTTTCTGATGTCACCTGGCAGGACAAAGGCAGAGCCTCTGTGTCATTCGCCACAGCCCGTGCATCAGATCAGGGGTACAGACCTGCTCTGCCTGCTGGGGCTGCTGAAGAGATGCTGGTGGTGTGTGGGTCGGCACCAAGTGCGGGCAGGGCGGGACCTCAGTCCTCAGAGGAACCTCAGCATCGCCTAGACTGGCTGGTGGGGCAGCTACTGCCAATGTCAGGGAGCTGCTGGGTTGGGGAGCAGAGGGCAGGGCCAGGGTACCCAAGGCCACAGCCTGGGCAGACAGCAAGGGACCCAGCAAAGCTGTCTGGACACCATGGCGTCTACCAGAGCAACAGTGCCCTAGAGGGCTCAAACTGGCCTCAAGAGCACATGTGAGACTCCCTTTGAAAACTCCAGAAGTACCAGTGGGTATTCTGTTGGGGTGGAGGGAACAAGGTCTTTCAGAGACCTAGGGGTTCCGAACTATCCTGCAGGTGCTGGGGAAATCCTGTATTATCATCCACGTTTCTGTTGCTGGCGCCCCTGCCTCCCTGGTCACAGAAGCTCGGAGTCCTGCTGGCGAGACCGACTGCTCCTTCCTCTCGCCGCCCACAAGCAGCTCCCTGTGTCGGGAGCCTCCTCCTTCATTCCCGGTTCCCCTCCTGCCGTCGCCACCGAGTGCCCACCCTACCACCCAGAGTTCACACCACCT